ATTTATCATATCTCATGGCAATGGTGATGACAGCTATATATTCAATTTCTAGCTAATGGAATTTCTTTAAAAAATGTGTAGCAATTTTAATAAATGAAGATAAAATACTAGCAGTTTTCTGTTGTGAAGACAATGTCCTAATCATTAACTAACAGATGGCAAAATCCATAGTATAGTTTTAAATGCAGAAAATATTGCTACCGTTCTTAATATTAGAGCTAAAAAAAAAAGAAATGTATGCAACATTCACATATACAGCTGATCAATGTTTATTAATGATTAACAATATTTTTATTTGAAACATTGTGTACAGTGAGGTTTTTGTTTAATTTCATGAGTTTATTTATTTTATTTACTTTACAGCTCATTGTTGCACAAAGTTTGCAGTATGTCATAAAATAAAACATTAAAAAAAAATCTTAAAACTTTCCAATTTTATATTATGCCCAAAGGGGCTTTTTTTTAACATTTTTTGTGTTACCTTTATTTATTAAATATTGTGTTCTTTGCATTTAAATCATAAAACTCAATTGAACAGCAATATCGCAAAATAATTTTAAAATGAGCATATCTGTAGAATTTCCAATACAGTCTTGTGGGCTGGAGATAATTTTTTTGTACAGTGTTGCCATTGTTCGCGTTAAAATCGTTGAGTTTCTTAATCAAAAATTTGTTAGAGTTTTACAAAATATGAAATAGATAATAAAATAAATTCCAAATTCAAGCTTCCAGATTGCCATATTCTAGTGGAGGACAACTTATTGAAAATTTTATGTCTCTAGGTACTGTTGTTTTTTCGCAGCGCTAGAAACGCATACATTCATGCAGATTCTTCATTATTTAATTTCGTTAAATATAATGCGGGGCTCTAATATTTGGTGGCAACAATTTGAAAAGTAAACCGACATTTATATGAACCAATGCAAAATGCCAAAACGAAATTAATAGCCCTTCTGGGCTAACAATAATTGATCCAACTTCATTTCATCTTTATTTATTGAATTTTGTTTAATCTTATTGCTAATTTTGAATTAATTTGTATTGCTATTTAATGAATTTTGTTTATTTAAAATGTAGATACAACTTTAAAGATACAACTTTTAAATTTTTTGTTTTATTCTTTAGTTCATAATTCTCTTATTTTCATTCTCATACAATTCATACTATAGCGAGTTTCACAGTTTTGCTTATTTGATTCATCAGAGGATTGGGCTTCTTGGTATTGAAGAAAGTGAAGAAGAGATGGTCGAGAATGAAAAGATTTTGATTGACAGTTTAGTGGGAATTCTCGATCTGGCATTTGCTGGACATGAACAATAAATCTTGTAACTTAACAAAAATTGTCATAAAATTTTTTAATGATGTTAAAAATTTTAATAAAGCGAAGAAATAAATACTTTGGTTTTTTGTCAGTTTTAACTTCCTTAAGGTTTTAAATGCTTCATTATTTCATGAACAACAATTTCATTTTTGTAATTTTTACTTGTTTAAACTGATGATCTAAAATTTGGAATTGGTGAAATCCCAACAATTCCAGGTCTTGTCCTCTGTACTTTGCAAATATTGTTCATGACTGGTGGAAAACATATAAAGAGAAGCATGGGCTTCAATTTCCATATGCAAACATGCTGAAAATTATAATTTTTTATCTAACATTATTCAGTTTTCAAAGGCCCCAAAATTGTCATTGGTGTTTTGCTATTCAATGAATAAAAGTGTTAAGTTGTATAATTTTTATAACTTTTCAGAATCGCTATTATTTATTATAGAACTGGTATTGTTGAAAAAGTTCTTTATTGTTATACAGAACAACCTACTAACTGCAACTTAGTTTTGTAGAGGTTATAAGTGAAAAATTAAATGTTCAGTGTTTTACTAACACCAACCATATGACCTAAATTTTCATAGTGTGAAAGCCTATTGTTTTTTACTTATTTCTTGAAATATAACATTAGGTCTGTGAATAACCTTTCAAGAAATATCAAGCTGTGTAATCTTAAATATTTTGTATATACTGTGAGCATAAAAGTATTTATCTGGCTTTTATTTTTGCAACTGTTGGTCATAGACATACCGTATTTATGCGAATCTAATGCGCCATCAAATCTAATGTGCATCCCCATTTTAAAACTTTAAATAATAAAAAAATTGTTTGTTGGCGAATGTAATGTGCATCAATGATATGAGGAATTTATTTAATCTTATTTTATAGAACAATGGATTTGTATATAAACTATCAATTAATGGTATGATAATTTTATTTAAATTTAGATACCATATTTTATACAACAATGGATTTATACATAAAGTAGCAGAACATAGAATTAACCTATTAGTGGGCTATTGTCATGTGAAACAATCATTGTTAATTAGCACTACCGTATATACGGTACCTATCGTAAAATATGAACATGAAATAAATCGTAACATTTCTATCTAGCTAACAGTTTCTACAATCAGTGATTAATAGTAAACGTCTTTATTCACTAATATTTTCATCACTGGAATCCTCACAGCTCTCTTCGTCAGAAGCAGATTCATTTCTTCATTCCTCATCATCGTCATCCTCGGCGTTCCAGAGCACGTCATCGTCACTGCCATTCAATGAATTTGAAATGCAGCATTTCTTGAAAGATTTCACAATCTTTGGTGCTTCAATGCTTTTCCAGGCAGCAGAAACCCAGTGTGCAACAATGTGCGGTGCAGCACGCTTAATTTTTCCTGTCAGGGTCAATACACGGTTTGGCTCACAAAACCATTTTTCGTACTCCGCCTGAACGTACCCCTTAAAAGGTTTATTTATACTAATGTCCAGGGGTTGTAACACAGACGTCATCCCTCCAGGAATGATAACAAGATCACTGCCTAGGCTGTGCATCTTCTTTTTTACGTCGTCGGTGAGATGACCACGAAATGCATTCAGGCAAAGCATTGATGGTGGATTAGAGAGCCCACCGGGACGGCGTTTCCATACATTTCGGAGCCAATCAAGCATTAATGATTCCGTCATCCACCCCTTCTCTTGGTTTCGAATCAGGACATCATCTCGGAACAACTTTTCATTCTTAGGGGTTTTAGAGCATGTTTTCCGTTTGAAGATTAAGAAAGGGGGAAGTTTGCACCCATCTGCTGTTATTGCCAGCATCACTGTTACGCGTTGTTTTTCACATCCCGAAGTTTTGATGATAACTTCCTTAGTCCCCTTCTCCATAATGGTGTAGTTACGCGGCATATCAAACCAAATTGCCATCTCGTCAGCGTTGCCAATTTGCCCCGTTGAAAAATTCTTTTCCTTCCGAAGTGTGATGACATACCGCTGAAATGTTAGTAGTTTTCCCTCAAAATCTGCAGGAAGCTTTTGGCATATTGTTGTACGGCGTCTTAGAGATAAACCCATCCGCTTTATAAACCGATCCAGCCATCCACGGCTAGCCTTAAACTCTTGTTTTGGTATTCCAAGAACTTCAGCCTCCTCTTTTGCTTTATTTCTTATGGTGTAACTAGTCACAGGTTGTCCATTCTTCCTCCTTTCACGTACAGATTCCAAAAGTTTTTCTTCAATTATAGGGTGTCTTCCTTTGCGAGGGCCAGTGAATTTCTTTCTTCTAGCTTTAGTTGCAAACAGTGGCAATTTCTGTTGCCGCCACAAGCGAACATTGCTCTCAGATACGTTGAACTCTCTCCCTGCCTTTCTATTGCCATTTTTTTCAGCATAAAGAATTACTTTAAGTTTGAAAGTAGCGTCATATGACATTCTTCTCTGTTTGCCCTCCATATCGTGACTACGTACTCTGCAGTTTGTATCCTCTATGCAATAATGTGTCAACGATAAATGTAACGGTAAATGTAGTCGAGAAATTTGGTTGACGTCATCGGCAAACTTTGCACTCGAATCTAATGCGCCATCGAATCTAATGCACACCCCGAATTTTGAATACTACATTTGGCCAAAAACGATGCGCATTAGATTCGCGTAAATACAGTACTTTCATTTATTAAAGTGTTTTAAATATTGAAGATATTTCTGTTTTGCCATTTTGAAATGTAAAAAAGGAATTTTTTAAGAATTTAGATATATAACTTTTCAAATAGTCCCTATAGTTATATTTAGTAGAATTTCATATTCATTGTCAAAAATAAAACAAGAAGCTTGACATCTATGCAATAAAATTTCACCAGGAAATTTAATTTCAAAATTTGAAAATGTTAACATTTTTTTTTTCAGTGTTTGTCAAGAAATTGGTTAAAATATAAATTAGAATAATTTTACGTTAATTTTTTCCTCCCTTTAATGTTATTTATTGATAGTCTTGTAATTCACTAGTGTGCAGCTTTCTTTTACATATTTATAATATTGTTGCATATTGTTTGTCAAAAGAATTTTCACATAAGTAATTTATGAGTTTCAAAATGCTAAAAATACATTATTTCTATTCCCAAGTAGTTTTATTACTTGAGAATCATAATCCAACAACCTACAAAAATACTTTTTAAGATAGAAATATTTTCTATCTTCAATTTATTTAAGTGCAATCTTCTGAACATGTTCTTAAACTTTAAATACCTCAGTCAATTTTTGTCATACGCAAGTCAGATATTTCATATTTTATTTTTTTAGAATGAGTATAAACTTTAGCTAAACATATATTTAATAAAGTATAGACCATATAAAATGCTGGATTTTGTAGTTGCAATAATTTTTTTTAATTCAAAAATTGTATAACTTGGGTATTTTTCTCATTTAAAGCATTTTTGTAACTGGAAATGTATGTCTTCTGCAACAGTTATGGAGGCTGTTTAAGACCTTTTATGGACACTGCATATATTACATACAAAGATGAAAAGTGAACTAGTGGCTTTAAAAAACAGTAAATTACTTAATGTTACTGTACATTACTTAGTGCATTTACATTTCTGTATATGTTGGTTTTCTTTATCATTATATTATACGGTATTCTTAAGTCAGGTTTATTCCTTGAATTAAATTTAATTTTCAATAGGAAGTTGAAGATATCAAGTTATTATCTGGTCATATTGCTGAATTTTTTGTCAAAAACTATGACCTAGCTGAAAGTCTGTATCTTGCTTCCTCCAACCCTTGTGCTGCATTAGAAATGCGAAAGAGTCTTTTTCAGTGGGATTCAGCTCTGAAATTAGCTGAAACATTAAGTCCTAAAGAAGTTCCTTTTATTTCTAAAGAATATGCTGAGCAGCTTGAATTCACGTAAGTTTTTACTTAGCGTAGACAGTTTCCAAAAAAGAAATGATTATTTGTTATCATATGTTCTAAACTTATTTTTTTTTTCACTAGAGGTGATTCTGTAAGTGCTCTTCATCATTACGAAAAGGCTTTGCTTGACGACTCTCTAAATGACACTGAGGTAATGAATGTGAAAATTTTAATTTTTGTATTGAACATAATAAAAAGTCTCATACATAAATGTAAGCAAAGCATTAGGTCTAAAAGTTTACTGTTTTATTTTTTCAGACTTTGCATCAAAACATATGCAGAGCTGGTATTGCTAGAACTGCAATCAGGTGTAGCGATTACAGAAGGTAGGTAACTACTTTTCAAAATGACCTTATATTTAAAATATGTTAATAAAGTTTCATCTGTACTGTGTTAAGCATTCCTCATTCTTGACTTTTCAATATTATTACCAAAAACCATTAAGAGCTCCCATTCAGTGAAATGAAGATTCTGCATAATATTTGTATATGCCCCATGATATCTGATATCTGTAAGAGAAGATTACTCACTACCTGTAAATTAGTATGTATTATGAGTGTATTGCAGCCTGCAACTTTTTCTCCAACACAAACCACAAATTTTGAATTGGATTCACTTTTAGCCTTTGCAATAAGTGGAACTCCTTGCCGTGTTCTCATAATGGTGCTTTAACTTGTCACGTGGAGCACAGTTTTGTTTACATCCATTTTTTCCCAGAATAGTTTTGCCATAATGAAGCGTACTCTGGCAAGTGTGATGTCAGTATTAATTTTGCTTAACACAATACTTAAACACAATATGTACAGAGATTTATATTATGTGTACATAGTATATACATATACAGAGATACATAAACATACAATATATACACTCTTAGACAAACTAAACGAAGGGGAACCAAGAAGAATGGACTAATATGAATGAAGATTGGACTAAATATTCGAATGGGACAAAAATCTGTAGAAGAGCTGCTAAAAAAAAAAATGGGACAGTGCTATATCTCCCATTCTACTGGGCCGATTGACAAAATTCAAACTGCATTTTTCATGTCTCAAAAGCGCGACTTAGGATGTATATTAGATTTATATATAGCACTATTCTAACATAGGTATTTTGACACAAAATTGGACTTTTCCTGAAATAACATACCAATTCTTTTACATATTTTGATTCTACGACTCAAATTATGCCAGAATGCCAAGTTTTGTAAAAATCGAACGAGTAGTTTTTAAAATATTAGCTCTCAAAATTTTAGCTCCTCAATGTTAATTGAATTTGGCAAATATTTATATTAATATCTTTTTTTTTTATTAAACTTTTTTGATTTTTCCTTTCACATTTCGAAATTTAGGTTCATTCCAAATAAAATTTACCCATTTTTTGTTTTATTTTTTAAATTTCTATTTTTAAATAATTTTTATAAATTTTTCAAAAAACATTTTGAATTATAACCTATAAAATTTTTACCTTCATCTTAAAGTAGGCGTATTTCTAAGCATACCTGCAAAAAATTAGACTTTTTTATTCAAAATTTTCTAAGATATACTCAAATTTACATATTTTTGCATTTTGAAATTTGGCATCTTTTTTTTTTTTTTTTTTTTGAGCTATAATAACGCCAAATGTGGTTTATGGATTTTTGTTGCAGTGAATTGCCACAGCTATTTTTAACTTTAAATTTCAAATAAAATTTCATGGAGAATTAATTATATGAAATTTTTTCCCTCAATGATGTGTAATAAATATTTATTAATACTATATGAAAAGCTATTTTTTTTAATTATAGATGATATTATTCAAATTTTTAACTATTTTTTTTAATTTCTCTGTTTCTTCCTTTTTTAAAAAAAAAATATTTGTAAGAGTAAATTTTTGTGTTCGGCGTTTTATTGTCTGCTACTTTACTTTAACTTCGTTTAAATCGAATTGTCTAAAACTGAGAACTTTCATTTGATGTTTATTTGAATTTTATGAAAATATTTTATGACATTAACTGCATAATTTATTTCTAAACAAGCTGTTGCTTATGAAGTGGCTGAAAGTGCAGCTGATACTATCATCCATATTTTTAAAGCACTGTATATTTTTATAGAAAGATAAGATTTAGAATAATCATTTTTATAAAAGTCAAATTATGATATAAACATACAGCTCTCTAGAGACCGAATTAATGGAAGTTCAATGGTTATGTAGAAATGATCTGCAGCTACTTAATGGCTGGTTAAGTCAGCAGGTTCTGTGGACAAGTAAGAATAATTATATAAATGACACCCAACATTCTGGATTCAATTAACAACGAGGGTACAATGTTTATTAAATGAATTTAAGAAGTTTTTAAACATAAAAAATCAACTCATTTTTTATCCTAAAATGTATTTTTATACGTAGCGTATTTTCATTATATCCTTAAAATTCTAATTTAGAATGTAATTATCAAGAACTGAATTCTTATCATCAGTAATATAAGTAATTATTATGGTTATTAATAAATCCTTCTTATAAAGTAATTGCAAATATTTCAAAAAACTTTCTGTCTGAATGCAAATATTTCTAATTTTATATTAATCAAGTTTGCACACGATATTATTTATTTGCACTTCAATTCTTTCTGTCAGCTCTAGTAGAAGTTACAAATCAATTATATTTAATTAAGATATGACCATCTAAGTTTAGAAACGGCGTACCGTAACAGCAATTCAATTATTAGCGCAGTATCTTTCATGTTACTCCCGATTGGCAATCTACATGATTTTTAATGAGTATTCGCATTTTGCTAGTAACTTCACTTGGAAATCATGCTTAACCCTCAGTTGGAGGGGCTGGTGTATGGTACAATCTTAGAGGGGCGGCGTATGAAGTACGCCAGGTCATTTTTCGAGCCTCTGCTTCGTGTTTGAAACTATTTAATCTTAGACGTGGCATTAATAAGGTGATTCGTCATAGTAAAAATGATATAAGAAAAAGAATAACAGAAAAAAGCAGTAAAGATGGAAACTACGAATTTTTAATTAATTCAAAAAGTGGATGCACTGGAAATGTAATTTAAAGTTAAATAGTATTCTGCATTATTTTCTGTATGAAAATTATAAGAACATAAATCAAAATTACAAATTATAAATTTTCCGTAAAGAAAAATTCGGTAAGTAATAAATTTAACAAATGAGAAATTTGAAAACCTTTTGCTATTTTAATCCTCTTCTGATTGTCTCTGTTCACTGCAGCAGGGTTTGCAAAGTTGTACTGTCTTGCCCAGATGATTTTTGCAGGTAAACTTAGAACACTCAGAACATTTTATGGTAGTGTAGTTATTCTTCATTGTACCGCACTCAGTGCAGCACCCTTTGATCTTTTTTGCAGGTGGTTCCTCGTCACTTTCGGCCGTCTTATCCGCTTCTGTTGTTACCAACCTTCTAATAATAGCTTTGGAATGCGACAGGAGAAATGGCATTTTCAGACGATTCTGAAGATGTGGTTTCAACAAAGATGTAGTAGATTTTTCAAAAAATATCTTCTAAACTGATGGCTGCATCAGGTTTGAAGAAGTTCAAGAGCACTTGCGAATTTATGCCCCCTACATTTAGCAGTGCAAAAAATATTGCCATTGTCCACCTCTTGGTTTTTCGGGCGACAGTGAAATTACTAAGTTAGTCTTCGGTATCAACTCCGCCTTTACATTTGTTATAATCGAGGATTATTTGAGGTTTGTTCGTTTCCTGGTCAATTTTGTCATCATCGTGTAAAGTACTGAGCAGTATTACACGCTTATTTTTTTTCGTTGAATATGAAATAATTGTCATATCCTTCTGAAAACCAAACAGTGAACTGCCGACTTCTCTGGTTTTTGATGGCTGGAATTCATTTCCTTTTTATTTTTTTTTTTTTTCAGCCTGCCCACAAGTGTAAGAAGATATTGAGCTAGCGGGTAGCTTGTATACCAATTATCGGTCGTCAGGTTACAGTTGGAACCTTTGTACGCATTGAATTAGAAGCCTCTTAAGGCCCTGGGGTTTGATTGCTACGGTAAATTTCAAGCTTCAATGTATAAAACGTTGTGCTCAACAATGCTATATACGTAAAATGTATCGGCAGATTCGTATAAATTGTGAGCAAAGCAGACTTCAATGCATTCTTTGGAAAAATACATTAAGTGATGCATCTAAACTTTATCAATTACTTACCGTAACATGAGGAACAAAATCAGCGCCTTTTTTAACAATAAGAGTTTAGAGGGAATTAGCTATAGATGAAAAGGATAGGTATCCGTTAGATTCTGAAACGACAATCAACGATTTTTGTGTTGATGACATTTTGTCTGAAGCAGAGCATGTCACCTCTGCTGTAGAATTGCAAAGACAGTTAATAGCCATGCTACAGTCTGGAAAAAAGGAATTGCACAAGTGGTGCTCAAACGAAATAATTCTTTCAGAACAAGATCCATTTGAAAAACAAGAGTACCATTTTGAAGAATCTTTACAAAGCACCATAAAGACTCATAAAATCATAGGCTTAAGATAGAATCCAGAAGTATCTTTTAGTCTGTGTCTAGTTCATCTAATATCTGTATTAAGCGTTCGGTTTGGGGAGATATTGCTAAAGTGTTTGATCCCTTAGGTTTCCTAGGACCTGTAATCATACGCGCTAAGATGTTTCTGCAAAGACTGCGGATTTTACATCTAGAGTGGGATGGTCAACTTCCTTTCAAAGAGCGACAAGAGTGGGAGACATTTCAAAATGCTTTACCAGAGTTGAAACAAATTAAAGTCCCTCGTTGCATTCTAATAGAATCAGTTGAAGAAATTGAGCTCCACTGTTTTGTTGATGCATAAAAGATTGGATATTATGGAGTTATTTACTTGTTGTGTCTCTGAAACTGGCGAAGTTAAAGTGACTGCTTTGAAGCAAATCTCGAGTATCGCCTATCAAAGTAGTAACAATTACTTGTCTGGATTTGTGTGCAGCAAACCTTCTTTCCAAACTTGCGTGTAAAGTAAAATTATCTTCGAGTTTTCAAATTGACAACTTTATTCTGTACGCAGATTCAAAAATAGTGTTATCCTGGATTGCTACATTTTCGCATCTTCTAAAGGTATTCGTGTCAAATAGAGTAGCTCGTATCCAAGAGCTAATTAAGGATTTCTCCTGGCAACATGTCAGAACCACAGACAATCCTGCTGACCTAATTTCTCGTGGTTTGAGACCGGAAAATATTGTTGATAACTCTTTATGGTATCAAGAAACAAATTTTCTGCATCAACAGGTCATTAATTATAAAAGTGTTATAATAACTACTTGGAAAAATCCAATGAAACCTATTTGCATGATCTAAAAACTCTTTCTAATGTAAATTTCACAGTAACAGTTAACAATTCTCTTTTTTGATTATGTTTCTAATATTAATAATCGTTATGATAAATTAATTAATGTTTTTGCTTATGTTCTAAGATTTATAAGAAATTATAGATCCATCGAAAAACAGCTATGCCCTCTGACAGTAGTTCGTCATGCGAAAGGAAATTGATTTCATTAGTCCAACAGTAAGAATTTCCTGAATTCAGTTACCTGGCTGAAGAGTTAAGTAAGGAAAGAGAAGTAGGTAAAAATAGTCACTTTTAGTTTTTATGTCCCTTTGTAGATGAATCTCAAGTTATTAGAGTAAATGGTAGACTGCAGAAAGCTAACTTGTCTTTTAACACAAAGCATCCTGCCGTCTTGCCAAAAAATCATAAACTGGCTAGCTTAATTATGTTAAACCACCATATTCGAAACTTCTATACCGGAGCACAAGCGCTCTTGCATAGTGTTAGAAAAAGTGTTTGGGCTCTTGCATAGTGTTAGAAATTCTGACAGTAGAGGAGTTTTCGTCATGCGAAAGGAAATTGATTTCATTAGTCCAACAGTAAGAATTTCCTGAATTCAGTTACCTGGCTGAAGAGTTAAGTAAGGAAAGAGAAGTAGGTAAAAATAGTCACTTTTAGTTTTTATGTCCCTTTGTAGATGAATCTCAAGTTATTAGAGTAAATTGTAGACTTCAGAAAGCTAAATTGTCTTTTAACACAAAGCATCCTGCCGTCTTGCCAAAAAATCATAAACTGGCTAGCTAATTATGTTAGACCCCATATTCGAAACTTCTATACCGGAGCACAAGCGCTCTTGCATAGTGTTAGAAAAAGTGTTTGGGCTTGCATAGTGTTAGAAATTCTGACAGTAGAGGAGTTTTCGTCATGCGAAAGGAAATTGATTTTCATTAGTCCAAACAGTAAGAATTTCCTGAATTCAGTTACCTGGCCTGAAGAGTTAAGTAAGGAAAGAGAAGTAGGTAAAAATAGTCACTTTTAGTTTTATGTCCTTGTAGATGAATCTCAAGTTATTAGAGTAAATGGTAGACTCAGAAAGCTAAATGGTCTTTTACACAAAGCATCCTGCCGTCTTGCCAAAAAATCATAACTGCAGCTTAATTATGTTAGACCACCATATTCGAAACTTCTATACCGGAGCACAGCGCCTGCATAGTGTTAGAAAAAGTGTTTGGGCTCTTGCATAGTGTTAGAAAAAGTGTTTGGGCTCTTGCAGTAGAAATCTGAAGTAGAGAGTTTCGTCATGCGAAAGGAAATTGATTTATTAGTCCAACAGTAAGAATTTCCTGAATTCAGTTACCTGGCTGAAGAGTTAAGTAGGAAAGAGAAGTAGGGTAAAAATAGTCAGTTAAAATTCTATGTCCCTTTTTAGATGAATATGAAGTTATTAGAGTAAATGTGATAAACTGCAGGAAGCTAACTTGTCTTTTAACACAAAGCACCCTGCTGTCTTGCCAAAAAGTCATAAATTGACTCATTTGATTATGTTACACCACCATATTCGAAACTTACATACTGGGGAACAAGCGCTCTCATAGTGTTAGACAAAAATTTTGGGCCTTGCATGTTTAGAAATCTGACAGTAGAGGAGTTTTCGTCATGCGAAAGGAAATTGATTTCATTAGTCCAACAGTAAGAATTTCCTGAATTCAGTTACCTGGCTGAAGAGTTAAGTAAGGAAAGAGAAGTAGGTAAAAATAGTCACTTTTAGTTTTTATGTCCCTTGTAGATGAATCTCAAGTTATTAGAGTAAATGGTAGACTTCAGAAAGCTAAATTGTCTTTTAACACAAAGCATCCTGCCGTCTTGCCAAAAAATCATAAACTGGCTAGCTTAATTATGTTAGACCACCATATTCGAAACTTCTACCGACACAGCGCTCTGCATAGTGTTAGAAAAAGTGTTTGGGCTCTTGCATAGTGTTAGAAATTCTGACAGTAGAGGAGTTTTCGTCATGCGAAAGGAAATTGATTTCATTAGTCCAACAGTAAGAATTTCCTGAATTCAGTTACCTGGCTGAAGAGTTAAGTAAGGAAAGAGAAGTAGGTAAAAATAGTCACTTTTAGTTTTTATGTCCCTTTGTAGATGAATCTCAAGTTATTAGAGTAAATGGTAGACTTCAGAAAGCTAAATTGTCTTTTAAAACAAAGCATCCTGCCGTCTTGCCAAAAAATCATAAACTGGCTAGCTTAATTATGTTAGACCACCATATTCGAAACTTCTATACCGGAGCACAAGCGCTCTTGCATAGTGTTTAGAAAAGTGTTTGGGCCTCTGCTAGTGTTAGAAATTCTGACAGTAGAGGAGTTTTCGTCATGCGAAAAAGGAATTGATTCATTAGTCCAACAGTAAGAATTTCCTGAATTCAGTTACCTGGCTGAAGAGTAAGTAAGGAAAGAGAGTAGGTAAAATAGTCACTTTAGTTTTTATGTCCCTTTGTAGATGAATCTTAGTTATTAGAGTAAATGGTAGACTCAGAAAGCTAAATTGTCTTTAACACAAAGCATCTGCCGTCTTGCCAAAAAATCATAAACTGGCTAGCTTAATTATGTTAGACCACCATATTCGAAACTTCTATACCGGAGCACAAGCGCTCTTGCATAGTGTTAGAAAAAGTGTTTGGGCGATAAGTGGACGTAATCTTGCTAGAAAGATCGTAAGGGAATGTGTAACGTGTACCAAGGTAAAACTAGTATTGCTAGATCAAAAGATGGGTAATTTGCCATTAGAGAGACTAAATCCCTCCTTTCCCTTTCATCACACTGGTGTTCACTTTTGTCGTCCTTTTTGTATAAAATATATAAATCAGAGGAAGGGCATAGTGCATTAGATTTATGTTGCAATTTTTGTTTGCCTCTTGACTCGTGCAGTCCATCTAGAAATCCCCCCTCCTGGGGGTTGACTCAGGCGAACGCCTGGGAAGTACTGTTTAGGATCTGTACCTAGGCAGTCTCAACCACGGGGATATATAATTTGACTTCACAAGACTAGAGCCCGAGTATTGTACTCAGGTTGGTTCAGGCTTGGAAGGAACCGTACTGTCGTGTCTGTTCCTTTGGCTGTGGTGGAGCTAGATCGGAGATCGTCGACTAAGTCCCCCGGGGTTTAACCCCATACATTTCTCGTGGCGGGGACTGACAGAGTGGACAGAGCACCCACCAACAATGGAATTTTTGCTGATGGAGTGGTGCCTGGAGGCAAGGTGATAGAGTTTTTGATTTTGCAACGATTTAGTTCTGCCCAATGCTTTGTAAAAGCCGGGCGGGGACTGCGGGGTTCGCGCCCGCGAGGACGAGGTCCTACGGACGATGGATATTTCAAAATTCTGTATGGGTCCTGTAGAATGAGGACCTGGGTCGGAGGTCCTTTGTCTGGTGTGTCGGTCCATTTAGAAATCGTTTCAAATTTGTCTACAGAATCATTTATTGTAGCCTTGAAACAATTTATTTCTAGAAAAGGGAAATGTGCATCCATATTTAGCGACAATGCTAGAAATTTTGTTGGGGGATAGCAATGAACTGAAGCGACTATATAATTTGGTGAAATACCATAATGAATTTTTAACCAAATATCTGACATCTGAAAGGATTCATTGGAAGTTTATCCCTCTTAGAGCTCCTTACTTTGGAGCGATCTGGGAGGCAGGTGTTAAGTCGTTTAAGTTTTATCTTAAACGGGCGGTTGGGAGGCTGATTTTGACATTTGAGGAGTTTCTTAAAATTTTAAACCAGATTGAGGGAATTTTAAATTCAAGTCCAATATCCCCTCTGTTGAATGACACCAGTGATTGAGAAGTACTTATACTCGTACACGTTTTAGTCGGGCGACATTTAACATCTATAACGCAGCCTGATCTTACTGCCTTTTCTGACAACTCTTTAAAGCGCTGAGAGCACACTACTAAAGTGACTCAATATTTGTGGAACAGGTGGCAAAATGATTACATTAATAATTTACAACAACGATTTAAGTATTATTTTTCTAAAGATAACGTTAAAAAGGGCACTATATTTTTAGTAAAGAGACACAACATACCCTTTTCAACTTGATTACGGAGAAAATAGAAGAACTAATTTATGGTAAAGATAAAAAAGTTAGAGTCTGTACTGTAAAAATCAAATCTGGTCTTTAAAAAAACCAATAGATAAATTAGCTATACTACCAGTAGATGTTACATAAGTTCAACGTATATTTGCTGAGTTCAAAAAACTGTTTATGTATTGTTTTTGGATTTATATTTGGTTCATTTCAAGTTCTGTGTTCAATTATGTTTACTGCCTTTGTGTATCAATTTTAAATTTTGTGATTTATGATTTGGACTATATGGTGGTTTAAACTGTTTAATTCTGGTCAGACAGAGAGAACCGAGCGGTCGTTTACTCGGCTTCTCTTAATAGAATTTGATTTGAATGGGGTATAATCCCTATCTTTTGATTTAAAATTAATCTTGAATCATGTAAATAGTGTATAGC